ATTTTATTTCTGGTTTTCTAGTAGAACAAGTTTCGATGTGTTGCGTATATGCAGTAAGCCGTACTGTAGAGAAGGTACAGTTATTACAAGTTAATATTTTGTTAGTTAGTTCGACTTTCTTTTCAACATCATTGAGTTCCCTATGTTTACTAAACACATGCCCCTGCAATACGTCATTCGACTGCGCTCTGAAGCCACAATATGGACAATAATATCTATATTTAGCGGGCTTTCTGGTATTACAAGTTAATATACAATTGTGTTGCTTTTGTTTTTCACTCCTCATGCTTTGGGGTCCTTTTCCTGGTTTTAATTTGTTGGAATTTATCCTAAAACAAAGCCTGTGTCAGTTTTTGAAGTTCAATTTTTTTTAACTTAATTAAGGGTTAATAGATGCTTATACAAAAATCGCTTAGCTTCGTAGTTCAGTCAATCTGTACGTAATGTCTTGGAATAGATACGAAAACTCGTTGACCAGATTCAAATGTTACAAACAGTTTTGCCTATTTGCCTATACGCTAAAGAAGTATCGCAACGCGCGCGCCATCTGGTGGGCTTCGATACCATTGCGTGAATTTAAGAATTGTCAACAATACATTTAAAGCTACGAACTGTTCATAATTTTTAAATAAATAGGTAGTTTTTTCACAAGAGAGGAAGGCAGAAGTCTTACTCGACAAATTTTGTTCAATTGCACAGCTAAATCGCGCACGTTATTTGTGTTACGTTGCAAGGAAAAAATTAAAACCCTTTTTCGATAGATTATTCTTTATATCATTGATTAAGAAACTCAACGCTTAAATGCTTATATAGTTACGTTAGTGTGTGTATTTTATCCCCTTGGATCATGGTGAATTATTGTGTTTTTAATTGTAAATAAAATTCAAGAACTAAATCGTTGCATTTTCATGTTTTGCCGAAGGATCCAATTCGGTAAGTACATTTGTTGGTGCAGAATTAACTAATTATAACTTTACCTAATATAATTTATATTTAAGTTTGGACATGTTTAAGAAATTAGTAAAAAATAATTTTTGTACAAACATAACCTTAAAATCAACCATTTTTATATTTGAGATCTCTAAAAAACGCCGACAATTGCATTTTAAACAACAAAATATACCTACGAATTCATGGCAACATAATATTATATATAATACATACTATAATGGTATTTACAAAAAAAATAGAAAAGATTTTGAACGAAGCTCCCGACGACGAGTACCTGTTGATGAAAGTGGCTTTGATAATGGAGCGTTGCTTGTAGATGCGATGAATTGGTCAATTTGAAAATTTAAGACAAAGGGAAATATTTTCACTAAAACCAAGAAATTGAGAAGTTTCACCATACTCGAAGAAGGATTTCCAGTCAACTCAATCAATTTGTGTAAAAAATACATGTATTTGAGACCAAAGAATACTAGTTCTAGCCGCTTTTTTGTTTTTTACAAAAATGGGAGGTGTACCAGCCAGTGTGTGGGAATAAATACGTTGTAGAAGATTCCTTCAAGAATTGCAATGTTTTTGAAATTGGAGGAACCAGCGCTCTACACCGGTCACTGCCTGAGAAGGTCTTCGGCGACTCTTTTGGCCAATGCAGGGGCTAACATGACTACTTTGAAGCGTCACGGAGGATGGAAGTCCTCGACGGTAGCAGAAGCATACCTAGAAGAATCAGTACAAAATCATGAAGTTACGCTTTTGCTTTATTAAAAGAAGCGATTTTTGGCTAACCCTGTATATATTAAATGATGTACACAGTATAAAAAAGTATTCTCAAAATCTCCTTAACAATATACTCCAATATTATAAAAATCGGTGTACAGATGTGTACTCTGTCAAATGTAGACTTTAAGATAAACAAAAATTTAAAAAAAAATCATGAATTTTCAAAAAGTTTTGAAAAGAGGAGCAGCTAGGATTTTGGTAAATATCATTTTTAAGTCACCGAAGGGTCCAATCAGGTTTTACGGCATTTTTATGCGACTTAAACTTCGTTCAGGCACACCGTGTATACATGGGGATATTTTGGAGTCCCCAAAGAAAACCATTTTTTGTAAATATTTTTTATTATTATTTATATTCATTTTATCAATTTCCTAGAACCTAACGACTGCATGCGAAGAGCAAGTGGAACCCATATGCCATTGGTGCCATTGATTGACTAATAACGGGTTTGTAGAAGTACCCCAAAAGTTTATTAATAAAAGTTTAATAAATGTTAGTAATTCGGCAAAGAAGCACAAACAAACTCACTTATAATCCTAAATTAAATACTTTATAATCCTAAATTATAATCCTAATTATAATCCTAAATTAAATACTTTTTTGACAATAGGATAACATGAAATAACATGCACTGTAAATATATACATAGTATATAAGGTGTCCAAAAAAATGTTCCTTTTTAGGATAATAATATTTTTAAAATAATTTTTAGGATAATAATAAAATAAGCTAAAATTTATCCCATCTGAAAACGATATTTTTAATTAAAGATACCTATAGGTACAACTCGTCAAAAATAGCAAGAGACTTGAGAAATTTGGCGTTCGAGCAAAAACCATAAAGAGAACGTATTCGGCCGCACAATGGACTGGAATCGCCAAAAAGCAGCCAAAAAACATAACTTATGTGAAAAAGGATGTGAGTGAGATAATTGGGTACAAAGAATATTTTTCCTGGATTACCAACACAGAAACAACGCGTGCTAATAGTGGGCGGTTGAATTAAGGTGTCAATTAAATTAATTAATTATACCCAATGCGAAATTTGCAACCTCAACTAACAAAGAACTCCACCAGGTAAACATTTACTAGTCGCCAACAGTTCCCATAAAAACAGCAAGCATAGCCAAAGAACTCATAAACAACGGCTCACATAAACAGTCATAAATCAGTCAAGTTCAGACAAACACAAGCAAAACAAAATCTTGTCCTAAAAAATAACATCTGTAGATTACGGGGACCATAAATTGGCAAACTCCTTAAATGCGTAATACTAAAAAACCACACAGTAGACGTTATCGATAGTCACCAAGGTCGAAATCCGACTCAGACAGAGACGCGGACACAGACAAGCAAGGAAGTACTACAAGACCAGCAAGGATAGGTCCTAGCAGCGTACTAACCAACCAAGCCCCATACATGATCCCCAATTGAATGGGGTTATTACCAAATCCCTGGTTGTCAGTTTAAGGTCCCTCAAAAACCAAAATGTTTGGTGAGATTAGTGTAAGGCGTTGGCGATGGGGCCAGCCATACGTTCCTCATACTCATACTCATTAACTTTGATTTTACCTTCTCTGCTGAGTGTACAGTTGTCTAGGCTACGACAAATACAATGTGAATGGTCTGTTGCTATTATTAACGAGTTGTACCCACAAAAAACCATAGGGGTAAAATCAGGCCCGCGCGGAGGTCAATTTATATCGCTTCTTGCGTTCTTACAATCAAACCAAAATTTTCTTTACAATTAACAAATTATAGCACGTTGCAACTATTAAATGAAATACCAGCTTTTTTAATGTTAATCGTTTTTGATAATATAATATATAATATATTATAAGTACCTACCTAACATTATGTTAGTAACATACAAAAAATAAAATTCGGATGTTATGATAAAAAAGCATGTCAGTTTATTGTTATTATACTCCAGGAATTATTTTTTTCCAATGAGAGCGCAGTATTATCGATTTGGAATCTGGGTTGCCTACATACCTACATTCATACAAACACGGGGTCGTCCGATAGAGCAGAAATACCCCAATGTGATTTTTTGGGCAAGCACTAATTGTCAATTTTCTTTTCAATAAGATTTTAATTTAAGATTTAACCGGTTTTTTTAGTTTATAAATAAAAGTCTTGATATTAATTAAAATTAAATTTATTTAAAAAAATTACAAAACAACATTTTTTATTATATTATATTTAATTTTTATAACAATAAATGCCAACAATTCGGCAAAGAACCACAAATAATTAAAAATTAAACAATATAATTCTTAACAATATTTTATATACATTAGGTTGTCCCTTATTTTTATTTTTTTTACGCATACCCTCTAATTATATTTATTACGTGTTTATATACTCCCAGTAAAAATTTCAGCTCATTCTATAAACGGGAACCCGTGCCGACTTGCATCTGAACCCTCCGTTAGCCAACTTTAGGCGCGCGGTATTTTGTAACACGGTTGGTCGCGAGGTCTTTGATCGTAAGTCATTTTGTGTTTGTTATTATGTGACCCTTATATTATAAAAATGTATATTTTCACAGGAAGTGGCTAGTTACCCGGAAGGGTTTTACTCTAAATGGGTTTTACTCTAAATAACTAAAAGAGTCTATTGTGAGAGATGACTACCGAAAACTTATTGAACTGTCTGAAATATTTTTGGGAGGACATCAAGAAAAGAAATGCTTATAAAAAGCTGAAATTTCATATAACAGTATATTTTAGCAATACTAATTAGTATATTAATATATTTAAGGTATAAAATCAACTAAATTAGTGAAACAAATGATAGAAACAAAAGCAATAATATTAATTAGTAATCATATTTAATAAAATCATTAGAAAAATACAGTCATGAAGTATATCTTCTTTTTAAAGTGTTTCGTGTTACAAAATACCGCGCGCTCCTAACGTTGGCTAACGGAGGGTTTAGATGCAAGTCGGCACGGGTTCCCGTTTATAGAATGAGCTGAAATTTTTACTGGGAGTATATAAACAAGTAATAAATATAATTAGAGGGTATGCGTAAAAAAAATAAAAATGAGGGACACCCTAATATACATTGTATAAGTAGGATTGGATAAAAAAATAAACAACTTCAAGGACTAATTATTTATATCTATTTTGCGTTCATAATGACTTCATTATAACATCGCTTTCGGTGCTGTAATGAGATACTTTACCCCACCCAAAATTTTGATTTTATAGGTTAATGAAAACTTTGGAAAAAAGACAAATTTTTTAAAAATTTATTTTACAAGTTTCATAATAAAGAATATAAAATATTTGACATCTAAATATAATAAGGACTCTTTATTCACAAAATTTTACATGGGTTACATAAAGGTCGTGCCTTACAGTTTTAAAAAAGCATTTTTTACATTTTAAAAAGTTGATGGCAACTTCGACTTTCTTTTCAAGTATATTTTGTTGGTTATGCATGCAAAAAACATGCTGTTGTAGTTCACAAGGTTTGGTTGTTTTCAAGCAACAATACGGGCATGTTAAGTTTTCATCGAGATGATTTTTATGGTGCAAAATATATTCTTGTTGGTTTTTCGTCTTAAAAGGACATTGCAAACATTGTATATCTAGGACTTTTGGGGTTGAACAGGACTTTAAATGCATTTCGTACAATATTTTAGACGCTGTTACAAATGAACAATTTGGACAATTGTGGGTTTTAATAATTATATGAATTTTCTTTTCAACGTCGTTTCGTTTTTTGTGTTTGGAGAGCACGTGACTTTGTAAGCATGTTTTTACTTGTATATTACAATAAGGACATTGTGTATGGGACTTTAAATGCTTTTCGTACAATATTTTAGACGCTGTTACAAATGAACAATTTGGACAATTGTGGGTTTTAATATTTATATGAATTTTCTTTTCTACGTCGTTTTGTTTCTTGTGTCTGTAGATCACGTGTCTTTGTAAGCCTGTCTTTTGTTGCACGATTTTATCACAATAAGGACATTTGGTATAAGTAATGGCTATTTTCTTGTCAACATCATTTTGTTCTTTGTGTTTACGATTCACGTGTGTTTGTAAACCTGTCGATTGAAAAAAAAATTTACAATAAGGACATTTTTTAAATGCCATATTAGAACCCAAACAATTTTTTAGATGTTGCGTGTATGCCTCAGCCTGTACTGTTGTGAATGTACATTTATTGCAAGTTTCTATTTTGTGAGTAAATTTAACTTCCTTTTTAATATCATTGAGTTCCCAATGTTTACGTAACACATGCTCTTCCAATGACAAAATCATCGTGGCTGAAAAGCTACAATATGGACAACAATAGCTAGATTTTGTTGACTGGGTTTTGGGACCATGACTTAATATTGTATGAGATAGATATTTTTGAACATCCGTTGTACCAAATTCACACAATTTACAATGGTATTTCTTTTGTATTTCATTCTCCTTGCTTTGGGATACTTCTTTTTCTGGTTCAATAGGATATTCCCTAAAACAGAAGCCTATTTTAGTTTTTGAATTGTTTAAAACTTTATTAATCAGTTAACTTGGCTTGACTTGACTGGATTCTGGGACCATGACTTAATATTGTATGAGATAGATATTTTTGAATATCCGTTGTACCAAATTCACACAATTTACATTGGTATATCTTTTGTATTTCATTCTCCTTGCTTTGGGGTACTTCTTTTTCGGGTTCAATAGGATATTCCCTAAAACAGACGCCTATTTTAGTTTTTGAATTGTTTAAAACTTTATTAATCAGTTAACTTGGCAGTGAAACTTGAAATACCCGTTTTTTTTTATTTTAACCCTTAAGAAAATAATTTAAAATTATTATTATTACTTATTATACTCCCGATATAAATTTTTTTCAAAAACTGTCCAGAAAGTCTTGAAAATTATAAATTTTGGATGAAGATGGGAATCATTGGACAAATTCCCTTATATCTGTACACAGAAAACTATATTAATTTAGTTGACCCATATTTATTTAAATCAACTGTGGGTAGGTTAATGTAACCAAAGATTAGTTTGACGGTACTAAACCAGATAGTTATTATTATTATATTTTTTTAAATTGGTTAAATTAACCCAGAAAACTTTAGTGAAACCAACCCGCTGTATGGTTCAGTTTACTAAATATGTTTTTTGTAAAATAAGAGTTACTTCAACCTTAAGCACTCTGTTAAAACGATTAAAACAGTTTTCCATGCATTCCTGGTTGCATAGTATGTACCGATCGCGGCAAAGGCGGTGTGGATCACGTGATGTTCTTAAATCTCGCCTCTGTTGACTTACATTAAGAGTATATAAGCTCAGGTAGTCCTTTGCTTTGGTGTGACACTACAAGTTGTACGATACTAAAGAGACCTTTAAATAGGTGGAAACTAGGGGTGTCAATCCCGGAATCCCGAAATCCCGGGGTCCCGGGATCCCGTAAAAAATCCGATCCCGAAAATCGAGGGATTAAAAGTCCCAATCCCGGGATCTTAGTAATAAGTTACAAAGAATAAAATAGACTTTTTTTTAAGCGTATGACATTTTTCATATTATAATACTCATAAGCATATATATAAACACTTCATTTTTTTACTCAGTTCAAGTCAAATTATTATACACCGCTGTACAATAATGAAAATACATTGAAATTACATAGCAAGAGTGGTTCCATTTATAGCATAAAATCAGCAAAATGTAAGAAAATGTAAAATTACAGGTCACTGTAGAATAAATTTATGTACATAACCTATAATATAACATATTTCAAACGTCAAACCTGAAAAAATGACACAAACTTGATAACTTCAATGTAAGTTACAGCCCCAATTGGAACTCACCAAGGCCCGATTGATAAAAGAAATGGAATTATTTGTTAATGGAAGTAAACGTGGGTACAATGTGCCTACGAATTATTGAAAACCATTCTTCCGACTAGTGTGAAGTCCGAAAGATATCGTTCGTTAGTTTGTTTGTTGTTTTATTTTAAACTGGTTTTAAAATTAATGATATATATTTTTTCGGGACTAATCCCGGGATTAGTTACCTTTGGTCCCGAAAGGCCCGGGATTGGAAAATGGGCTCGGGATTGACACCCCTAGTGGAAACAGATGTCAATACTTGGAGTATCTTAAGTTGGTGGAACGCACTAAAAACATTATCTTTAGCGAGGTGAAGGTTCAATTTTCTGGAATAATACCACTGGTAGTAATGCGTCAAGGAATTTCATGTTTCTTGAAAAATATAAAAAAATGGCTTTAAAAAAATGTTTTAAAATTATATTTGGTCAATTCAACCAAATGTATTTAGTACATTGGACTGGTAGGTAAAGGTCACTTTAACTATTTAAATGTTTGTTTTTAAATAAATATATAGTTGTAGAATATAACTAAATGCGGTTGTTAAAATAACTAAATGTTTGGTTGGCTCTATTGAAACAACAGATTAAGTTAAATCAAGCAAATAATCGTTGGGCTAACTAAACCTTTTTTTCTGTGTAGATTTAATATTTTATTCTGATTTGTTCACAGTTCTACAAAATCATGCATACAAGAATTTTAAATTAAACTTGTTTAACTTATTTTTTTTTAGATGTAATGTTATGTTAGGGTCGAAAATATAATCAGGAAAGTTGAAAGGACAGAGAATTAATTACAAACGTTCGTACCTACTATAATTGATATTTATTGAAAAAAAATCATAATTACATTATCTACCACGCAATCGTTGATAACTTTTTTTTTCGTGGAAGCCATTTATATCGCGAATTTTATGTTTTACAAGTTTCACAATAACTTCAAGAACATTAGACTCAAAGAATATGAAATATTTGACATCTAAATATAATGAGACGTGATGAATGGTGCTTCTTGCATTCTTTCAGCAAACCAATCAAACCAAAAATGTCTTCATAATCAAAGCACACGGAGTGTAGTAGCTTTAAACCATGTTTTTATAATTAAATTATTGTAAGCTATATTAAAGAACTCTTTATGCACAAAATTTTACGTGGGTTGCATAAGGGTCGTTCCTTACAGTTTTAAAAAAGCCTTTTTTACATTTTAAAAGTTGATGGCAACTTCGACTTTCCTTTCAAGTATATTTTGTTGGTTATGCATGCAAAAAACATGCTGTAGTAGTTCACAAGATTAGGTTGTTTTCAAGTAACAATGCGGGCATGTTAAGTTTTTATCGAGATGAAATAAAATATATTCTTGTTGGTTTATCGTCCTAAAAGGACATTGCAAACATTTTATATTTACGAGGACTTTTGGGGTTGGACAGTACTTTAAATGCCTTTCGTACAATATTTTAGACGCTGTTAGAAATAAACAATTTGGACAATTGTGGGTTTTAATATTTATATGAATTTTCTTTTTAACGTCGTTTTGTTTTTTGGGTCTGTATACATATCTATAGATCACGTGTCTTTGTAAGCCTGTCTTTTGTTGCACGATTTTATCACAATAAGGACATTTTATCATCACGTCTTTCTTCGCGGTTTTTTTTTTTGATACAAAAATCCACATGTGATTTGTATACTTTTAAATTGACTGTGACGAACGTACAATTTTTACACTCGTATTTTGTATAAGTAATGGCTATTTTCTTGTCAACATCATTTTGTTCTTTGTGTTTACGATTCACGTGTGCTTGTAAACCGGCCATTTGAAAAAATTTTTTACAATAAGGACATTTTTTAAGTGTCATACTAGAACCCAAACAATTTTTTAGATGTTGCGTGTATGCCTCAGCCTGTACTGTTGTGAATGTACATTTATTGCAAGTTACTATTTTGTGAGTGAATTTAACTTCCTTTTTAATATCATTGAGTTCCCTATGTTTACGTAACACATGCTCTTCCAATGACAAAATCATCGTGGCTGAAAAGCTACAATATGGACAACAATAGCTAGATTTTGTTGACTGGGTTTTGGGACCATGACTTAATATTGTATGAGATAGATATTTTTGAATATCCGTTGTACCAAATTCACACAATTTACAATGGTATTTCTTTTGTATTTCATTCTCCTTGCTTTGGGGTACTTCTTTTTCTGGTTCAATAGGATATTCCCTAAAACAGACGCATATTTTAGTTTTTGAATTGTTTAAAACTTTATTAATCAGTTAACTTGGCTTGACTTGACTGGATTCTGGGACCATGACTTAATATTGTATGAGATAAATATTTTTGAATATCCGTTGTACCAAATTCACACAATTTACAATGGTATTTCTTTTGTATTTCATTCTCCTTGCTTTGGGGTACTTCTTTTTTTGGTTCAATAGGATATTCCCTAAAACAGACGCCTATTTTAGTTTTTGAATTGTTTAAAACTTTATTAATCATTTAACTTGGCAGTGAAACTTGAAATACCCGTTTTTTTATTTTAACCCTTAAAAAAATAATTTAAAATTATTATTATTATTATACTTACTCCAGAAATTAAATTTTTCCAAAAACTGTCCAGAAAGTCTTGAAAATTATAAATTTTGGATGAAGATCATTGGACAAATTCCCTTATATCTGTACAAAAAAAAAGGAATGGTTAATTTAACTATATTAATTTAGTTGACCCATATTTATTTAAATCAACTGTGGGTAGGTTAATGTAACCAAAGATTAGTTTGACGGTACTAAACCAGATAGTTATTTTATTTTTTTAAATTGCTTAAATTAACCCAGAAAACTTTAGTGAAACCAACCGCTGTATGGTTCAGTTTACTAAATATGTTTTTTGTAAAATAAGAGTTACTTCAACCTTAAGCACTTTGTTAAAACAATTTGCCATGCATTCCTGGTTGCATAGTATGTACCGATCGCGGCAAAGGCGGTGTGGATCACGTGATGTTCTTAAATCTCGCCTCTGTTGACTTACATTAAGAGTATACCTATAAGCTCAGGTAGTCCTTTGCTTTGGTGTGACACTACAAGTTGTAGGATACTAAAGATACCTTAAATAGGTGGAAACAGATGTCAATACTTGGAGTATCTTAAGTTGGTGAAACGCCCTAAAAACATTATCTCTAGCGAGGTGAAGGTTTAATTTTCTGGAATAATACCACTGGTATTATACTAGTAATGCGTCAAGGAATTTCATGTTTCTTAATGTTTTAAAATTATATTTAGTCAATTCAACCAAATGTATTTAGTACATTGGTCTGGTAGGTAAAGGTCACTTTAACTATATAAATGTTTGTTTTTAAATAAATATATATATAATAGTTGTAGAATATAACTAAATGCGGTTGTTAAAATAACTAAATGTTTGGTTGGCTCTATTGAAACAACAAATTTAGTTAAATCAAACAAATAATAGTTGGGCTATGTAACTAAACCTTTTTTTCTGTGTAGATTTAATATTTTGTTCTGATTTGTTCACAGTTCTACAAAATCATGCATACAAAATTTTAAATTAAACTTGTACTTATTTTTTTTTTTAGATGTAAAGTGATGTTAGGGTCGAAAATATAATCAGGAAAGTTGAAAGGACAGATAATTAATTACAAACGTTTGTACCTACTATAATTGATATTTATTGAAAAAAAATAATTACATTATCTACCACGCAATCGTTGATAACTTTTTTTTTCGTGGACGCCATTTATATCGCGAATTTCAAGAATTTTATGTTTTACAAGTTTCACAATAACTTGAAGAACATTAGACGCAAAGAATATGAAATATTTGACATCTAAATATAATGAGACGTGATGAATGGTGCTTCTTGCGTTCTTTCTGCGAGCCAATCAAACCAAAAATTTCTTCATAACCATAGCACACGGAGTGTAGTAGCTTTAAACCATGTTTTTATAATTAAATTATTGTAAGCTATATTAAAGAACTCTTTATGCACAAAATTTTACGTGGGTTGCATAAAGGTCGTTCCTTACAGTTTTAAAAAAGCATTTTTTACATTTTAAAAAGTTGATGGCAACTTCGACTTTCCTTTCAAGTATATTTTGTTGGTTATGCATGCAAAAAACATGCTGTTGTAGTTCGCAAGCTTTGGTTGTTTTCAAGTTACAATACGGGCATGTTAAGTTTTCATCGAGATGATTTTTATGGTGCAAAATATATTCTTGTTGGTATTTCGTCTTAAAAGGACATTGTAAACATTTTATATCTTTATATTTTTTAGTAATGGCTATTTTCTTGTCAGCATCATTTTGTTCTTTGTGTTTACGATTCACGTGTATTTCTAAACCTGTCGATTTAAAAAAAAAATTACAATAAGGACATTTTTGAATTGTCATATTAGAACCCAAACAATTTTTTAGATGTTGCGTGTATGCCTCAGGCTGTACTGTTGCGAATGTACAGTTATTGCAAGTTACTATTTTGTGAGTGAATTTAACTTCCTTTTTAATATCATTGAGTTCCCTATGTTTACGTAACACATGCTCTTCCAATGACAAAATCATCGTGGCTGAAAAGCTACAATATGGACAACAATAGCTAGATTTTGTTGACTGGGTTCTGGAACCATGACTTAATATTGTATGAGATAGATATTTTTGAATATCCGTTGTACCAAATTCACACAATTTACAATGGTATTTCTTTTGTATTTTATTCTCCTTGCTTTGGGGTACTTCTTTTTCTGGTTCAATAGGATATTCCCTAAAAAAGGCGCCTATTTTAGTTTTTGAATTGTTTAAAACTTTATTAATCAGTTAACTTGGCTTCACTTGACTGGATTCTGGGACCATGACTTAATATTGTATGAGATAAATATTTTTGAATATCCGTTGTACCAAATTCACACAATTTACAATGGTATTTCTTTTGTATTTCATTCTCCTTGCTTTGGGGTACTTCTTTTTCTGGTTCAATAGGATATTCCCTAAAACAGACGCCTATTTTAGTTTTTGAATTGTTTAAACTTTATTAATCATTTAAAATTATTATTATTATTATACTCCAGAAATTAAATTTTTTTCAAAAACTGCCCAGAAAGTCTTGAAAATTATAAATTTTGGATGAAGATGGGAATCATTGGACAAATTCCCTTATATCTGTAGAAAGAAAAAAAGGAATGGTTAATTTAACTATATTAATTTAGTTGACCCATATTTATTTAAATCAACTGTGGGTAGATTAATGTAACCAAAGATTAGTTTGACGGTACTAAACCAGATAGTTATTTTATTTTTTTAAATTGGTTAAATTAACCCAGAAAACTTTAGTGAAACCAACCCGCTGTATGGTTCAGTTTACTAAATATGTTTTTTGTAAAATAAGAGTTACTTCAACCTTAAGCACTCTGTTAAAACAATTTGCCATGCATTCCTGGTTGCATAGTATGTACCGATCGCGGCAAAGGCGGTGTGGATCACGTGATGTTCTTAAATCTCGCTTCTGTTGACTTACATTAAGAGTATATATACTATATATAAGCTCAGGTAGTCCTTTGCTTTGGTGTGACACTACAAGTTGTAGGATACTAAAGATAACTTAAATAGGTGGAAACAGATGTCAATACTTGGAGTATCTTAAGTTGGTGAAACGCCCTAAAAACATTATCCCTAGCGAGGTGAAGGTTCAATTTTCTGGAATAATACCACTGGTATTATACTAGTAATGCGTCAAGGAATTTCATGTTTTTTGAAAAATATAAAAAATGGCTTAAAAAAATGTTTTAAAATTATATTTAGTCAATTCAACCAAATGTATTTAGTACATTGAACTGATAGGTAAATGTTTGTTTTTAAATAAATATATGTTGTAAATGCGGTTGCTAAAATAACTACATGTTTGGTTGGCTCTATTGAAACAACAGATTTAGTTAAATCAAACAAATAATAGTTGGGCTAACTAAACCTTTTTTTCTGTGTAGATTTAATATCTTGTTCTGATTTGTTCACAGTTCTACAAAATCATGCATACAAAATTTATAAATTAAACTTGTACTTATTTTTTTTAGATGTAAAGTTATGTTAGGGTCGAAAATATAATCAGGAAAGTTGAAAGGACAGAGAATTAATTACAAACGTTTGTACCTACTATAATTGATATTTATTGAAAAAAAATCATAATTACATTATCTACCACGCAATCGTTGATAACTTTTTTTTTTCGTGGAAGCCATTTATATGGCGAATTTCAAGAATTTTATGTTTTACAAGTTTCACAATAACTTCAAGAACATTAGACGCAAAGAATATGAAATATTTGACATCTAAATATAATGAAACGTGATGAATGGTGCTTCTTTCATTCTTTCATCAAACCAATCAAACCAAAAATGTCTTCATAATCAAAGCACACAGAGTGTAGTAGCTTTAAACCATGTTTTTATAATTAAATTATTGTTAGCTATATTAAAGGACTCTTTATGCACAAAATTTTACGTGGGTTGCATAAAGGTCGTTCCTTACAGTTTTAAAAAAGCCTTTTTTACATTTTTAAAAGTTGATGGCAACTTCGACTTTCTTTTCAAGTATATTTTGTTGGTTATGCATGCAAAAAACATGCTGTTGTAGTTCACAAGATTTGGTTGTTTTCAAGTAACAATACGGGCATGTTAAGTTTTCATCTAGATGATTTTTATGGTGCAAAATATATTCTTGTTGGTTTTTCGTCTTAAAAGGACATTGCAAACATTTTATATTTACGAGGACTTTTGGGGTTGAACAGTACTTTAAATGCCTTTCGTACAATATTTTAGACGCTGTTACAAATAAACAATTTGGACAATTGTGGGTTTTAATATTTATATGAATTTTCTTTTCAACGTCGTTTTGTTTTTTGTGTCTGTAGATCACGTGTCTTTGTAAGCCTGTCTTTTGTTGCACGATTTTATCACAATAAGGACATTTTATTTCTTCGCGGTTTTTTTTTTGATACAGAAATCCACATGTGATTTATATACTTTTAAATTGACTGTGACGAACGTACAATTTTTACACTCGTATTTTGTATAAGTAATGGCTATTTTTTTCTCAACATCATTTTGTTCTTTGTGTTTACGATTCACGTGTATTTGTAAACCTGTCGAATTAAAAAAATTATTACAATAAGGACATTTTTCAAGTGTCATATTAGAACCCAAACAATTTTTTAGATGTTGCGTGTATGCCTCAGCCTGTACTGTTGTGAATGTACATTTATTGCAAGTTAATTTAACTTCCTTTTTAATATCATTGAGTTCCCTATGTTTACGTAACACATGCTCTTCCAATGACAAAATCATCGTGGCTGAAAAGCTACAATATGGACAACAATAGCTAGATTTTGTTGACTGGGTTTTGGGACCATGACTTAATATTGTATGAGATAGATATTTTTGAATATCCGTTGTACCAAATTCACACAATTTACAATGGTATTTCTTTTGTATTTCATTCTCCTTGCTTTGGGATACTTCTTTTTCTGGTTCAATAGGATATTCCCTAAAACAGAAGCCTAATTTAGTTTTTGAATTGTTTAAAACTTTATTTATCAGTTAACTTGGCTTGACTTGACTGGATTCTAGGACCATGACTTAATATTGTATGAGATAGATATTTTTGAATATCCGTTGTACCAAATTCACACAATTTACATTGGTATATCTTTTGTATTTCATTCTCCTTGCTTTGGGGTACTTCTTTTTCTGGTTCAATAGGATATTCCCTAAAACAGACGCCTATTTTAGTTTTTGAATTGTTTAAAACTTTATTAATCAGTTAAGTTGGCAGTGAAACTTGAAATACCCGTTTGTTTATTTTAACCCTTAAAAAAATAATTTAAAATTATTATTATTATTATACTCCAGAAATAAATTTTTTCCAAAAACTGTCCAGAGTCTTGAAAATTATAAATTTTGGATGAAGATGGGAATCATTGGACCCATATTTATTTAAATCAACTGTGGGTAGGTTAATGTAACCAAAGATTAGTTTGACGGTACAGATAGTTATTTTATTTTGGTTAAATTAACCCAGAAAATTTTAGTGAAACCAACCCGCTGTATGGTTCAGTTTACTAAATATGTTTTTTGTAAAATAAGAGTTACTTCAACCTTAAGCACTCTGTTAAAACGATAAAAACAATTTGCCATGCATTCCTGGTTGCATAGTATGTACCGATCGCGGCAAAGGCGGTGTGGATCACGTGATGTTTTTAAATCTCGTCTCTGTTGACTTACATTAAGAGTATATATACTATATATAAGCTCAGGTAGTCCTTTGCTTTGGTGTGACACTACAAGTTGTAGGATACTAAAGATACCTTAAATAGGTGGAAACAGATGTCAATAGTTGGAGTATCTTAAGTTGGTGGAACGCACTAAAAACATTATCTCTAGCGAGGTGAAGGTTCAATTTTCTGGAATAATGCCACTGGTATTATACTAGTAATGCGTCAAGGAATTTCATGTTTCTTGAAAAATATAAAAAAATGGCTTAAAAAAAATGTTTTAAAATTATATTTAGTCAATTCAACCAAATGTATTTAGTACCTTTTACTACATAAATGTTTGTTTTTAAATAAATATATAGTTGTAGAATATAACTAAATGCGGTTGTTAAAATAACTAAATGTTTGGTTGGCTCTATTGAAACAACAGATTTAGTTAAATCAAACAAATAATAGTTGGGCTAACTAAACCTTTTTTTCTGTGTAGATTTAATATTTTGTTCTGATTTGTTCACAGTTCTACAAAATCATGCATACAAAATTTTTAAATTAAACTTGTGCTTATTTTTTTAGATGTAATGTGATGTTAGGGTCGAAAATATTTTCAGGAAAGTTGAAAGGACAGAGAATTAATTACAAACGTTCGTACCTACTATAATTGATATTTATTGAAAAAAAATCATAATTACATTATCTACCACGCAATCGTTGATAACTTTTTTTTTCGTGGAAGCCATTTATATCGCGAATTTTATGTTTTACAAGTTTCACAATAACTTCAAGAACATTAGACGCAAAGAATATGAAATATTTGACATCTAAATATAATGAGACGTGATGAATGGTGCTTCTTTCATTCTTTCAGCAAACCAATCAAACCAAAAATGTCTTCATAATCAAAGCACACGGAGTGTAGTAGCTTTAAACCATGTTTTTATAATTAAATTATTATAAGCTATATTAAAGAACTCTTTATGCACAAAGTTTTACATGGGTTGCATAAAGGTCGTGCCTTACAGTTTTAAAAAAGCATTTTTTACATTTTAAAAAGCTGATGGCAACTTCGACTTTCTTTTCAAGTATATTTTGTTGGTTATGCATGCAAAAAACATGCTGTTGTAGTTCACAAGGTTTGGTTGTTTTCAAGTAACAATACGGGCATGTTAAGTTTTCATCGAGATGATTTTTATGGTGGAAAATATATTCTTGTTGGTTTTTCGTCTTAAAAGGACATTGCAAACATTGTATATCTAGGACTTTTGGGGTTGAACAGGACTTTAAATGCATTTCGTACAATATTTTAGACGCTGTTACAAATGAACAATTTGGACAATTGTGGGTTTTAATATTTATAAGAATTTTCTTTTCTACGTCGTTTTGTTTTTTGTGTTTGGAGAGCACGTGACTTTGTAAGCATGTTTTTACTTGTATATTACAATAAGGACATTGTGTATGGGAATTTAAATGCCTTTCGTACAATATTTTAGACGGTGTTACAAATGAACAATTTGGACAATTGTGGGTTTTAATATTTATATGAATTTTCTGTTCAATGTCGTTTTGTATTTTGTGTTTGGAGAGCACGTGACTTTGTAAGCATGTTTTTACTTGTATATTACAATAAGGACATTGTGTATGGGAATTTAAATGCCTTTCGTACAATATTTTAGACGCTGTTACAAATGAACAAATTGGACAATTGTGGGTTTTAATATTTATATGAATTTTCTTTTCTACGTCGTTTTGTTTTTTGTGTCTGTAGATCACGTGTCTTTGCAAGCCTATCTTTTGTTCCACGATTTTATCACAATAAGGACATTTTATCATCACGTCTTTCTTCGCTTTTTTTGTTTTGATACAGAAATCCACATGTGATTTGTATACTTTTAAATTGACTGTGACGAACGTACAATTTTTACACTCGTATTTGGTATAAGTAATGGCTATTTTCTTGTCAACATCATTTTGTTCTTTGTGTTTACGATTTACGTGTGTTTGTAAACGTGCCGATTGAAAAAAAAATTTACAATAAGGACATTTTTTAAATGCCATATTAGAACCCAAACAATTTTTTAGATGTTGCGTGTATGCCTCAGCCTGTAGTGTTGTGAATGTACATTTATTGCAAGTTTCTATTTTGTGAGTGAATTTAACTTCCTTTTTAATATCATTGAGTTCCCAATGTTTACGTAACACATGCTCTTCCAATGACAAAATCATCGTGGCTGAAAAGCTACAATATGGACAACAATAGCTAGATTTTGTTGACTGGGTTTTGGGACCATGACTTAATATTGTATGAGATAGATATTTTTGAACATCCGTTGTACCAAATTCACACAATTTACAATGGTATTTCTTTTGTATTTCATTCTCCTTGCTTTGGGATACTTCTTTTTCTGATTCAATAGGATATTCCCTAAAACAGAAGCCTAATTTAGTTTTTGAATTGTTTAAAACTTTATTAATTAGTTAACTTGGCAGTGAAACTTGAAATACCAGTTTTTTTTATTTTAACCCTTAAAAAATAATTTAAAATTATTATTATTATTATACTCCAGAAATTAAATTTTTCCAAAACCTGTCCAGAAAGTCTTGAAAATTATAAATTTTGGATGAAGATGGGAATCATTGGACAAATTCAGATATAAGGGAATTTGTTCAATTATCTATAGATTTAATATTTTGATCTGATTTGTTCACAGTTCAACAAAATCATGCATACAAAATTTATAAATTAAACTTCTACTTATTTTTTTTAGATGTAAAGTTATGTTAGGGTCGAAAATATAATCAGGAAAGTTGAAAGGACAGAGAATTAATTACAAACGTTTGTACCTACTATAATTGATATTTATTGAAAAAAATCATAATTACATTATCTACCAAGCAATCGTTGATAACTTTTTTTTTCGTGGAAGCCATTTATATCGCGAATATCAAGAATTTTATGTTTTACAAGTTTTACAATAACTTCAAGAACATTAGACGCAAAGAATATAAAATATTTGACATCTAAATATAATGAGACGTGATGAATGGTGCTTCTTGCATTCTTTCAGCAAACCAATAAAACCAAAAATGTCTTCACAATCATAGCACACGGAGTGTAGTAGCTTTAAACCACGTTTTTATAATTAAATTATTGTAAGCTATATTAAAGAACTCTTTATGCACAAAATTTTACGTGGGTTGGTTCCTTACAGTTTTAAAAAGGCATTTTTTACATTTTAAAAAGTTGATGGCAACTTCGACTTTCTTTTCAAGAATATTTTGTTGGTTATGCATGCAAAAAACATGCTGTTGTAGTTCACAAGGTTTGGTTGTTTTCAAGTTACAATACGGGCATGTTAAGTTTTCATCGAGATGATTTTTATGGTGCAAAATATATTCTTGTTGGTTTTTTGTCTTAAAAGGACATTGTAAACATTTTATATCTAGAAGGACTTTGGGGGTAAACAGGACTTTAAATGTCTTTCATACGCTTTTTTAAAGACTGTGACAAATGAACAATTTGTGCAATTGAGTGTTTTAATATTTATAGGAATTTTCTTTTCAACGTCGTTTTGTTTTCTGTGTTTGGAGAGCACGTGTCTTTGTAAGCATGTTTTTACATGTATATTACAATAAGGACATTTTTTATAGGAATTTAAATGCCTTTCGTACAATATTTTGGAAGCTGTGAAAAATGAACAATTTGGACAATTGTGGGTTTCAAGATTTATATGAATTTTCTTTTCCACGTCGTTTTGTTTTTTGTGTCTGTAGATCACGTGTCTTTGCAAGCCTATCTTTTGTTGCACGATTATATCACAATAAGGACATTTTATCATCAAGTCTTTTTTAGCGGTTTTTTTTTCGATACAGAAATCCACATGTGATTTATATACTTTCAAATTGACTGTGACGAACGTACAATTTTTACACTCGTATTTTGTATAAGTAATGGCTATTTTCTTCTCAACATCATTTTGTTCTTTGTGTTTACTAATCACGTGTACTTGTAAACCTGTTGTCGATCTAAACGATTTTTTACAATAAGGGCATTTTTTAAGTGTCAAACATTTTTTTAGATTTTGCTTATATGCGGTAGGCTTTACTGTTGCGAGTGTACAGTTATTGCTAGTTACTATTTTGTGAGGGAATTTAAATTCCTTTTTAATATCATTGAGTTCCTTATGTTTACTTAACACATGCTCTTCCAATGACAAAAGCATCGTGGCTGTGTAGCTACAATGTGGACAATAATAGCTAGGTTTTGTTAACTGGATTCTGGGACCATGACCTAATATTGTATGAGATAGATATTTTTGAACATCCGTTGTACCAAATTCACACAATTTACAATGGTATTTCTTCTGTATTTCATTCTCCTTGCTTTGGGGTACTTCTTTTTTTGGTTCAATAGGATGTTTCCTAAAACAGAAGCCTATTTTAGTTTTTGAATTGTTTAAAACTTTATTAATCAGTTAACTTGGCAGGGAAATTTGAAATAC